CAACCAGTTCAATACGAGCAACGCATGGGCCCAACTCGTACTCAGCAAATGTTTCGAGCTGCACCCCCTAATTATAACCCCCACAGTAACGTTTTCCGTATGCCACATAAAATAAACACACCACAGAATATAGCTCCCAAGCCCATCAGTGGTATTCAAACTTTTACACCTCGTCAATTACCCCACACTATGATGACTGGACACGATTGGCGTAAGTCAGGCAATCCTCCCCCATCAAATTATTTTAAGACTCGCGAAATGAACTTTAACGAATTTTATAATTATGATGGATCATATTACCCTACTGACTATTATGATGAGACCGATTTCCCTTATTACACAGGAGCCTCTGACTACGATTACTATAATGAACATCCTTACACTATAGCTGAACAAATTGATAATACTACTGACGGGACTGACGTGACTGATATAATCGAACCTCAACCAGGACCTAGTAACGCGAATCAGGATTTTCACAGGAATACGCCATCAAAGAAACCAAAATAGAGATAAACCTCCAAACTCAACGACAATTACCTTATATACAAATTCTTGACCCTCCTTTGAAATTTCTTATAGACACAGGAGCAAATCAATCTTTTATAAGCCCTAAAGCCGTCAAAGAGTACTTTAATAACTATCCTCTGAATTATGACCCTTTCGAAGTGACAAACGTACATGCCACCATTCGTAACGAGTATTCTATTACATTACCATGCTTTAGTGAATTTAATGACAGTGACTGTATAAAACTTTTTATCTATCACTTTCATGATTATTTTGACGGATTAATTGGACTAGATCTTTTAACTAAATGGGAATCTAAAATAGACTTGAAAGAAGGTAAGCTTGTTACTCGATCGTCATCAAACCCGATTATAATGTACAATTCATATAACGTCAATCTTTATGAAGATATAATCCCTGCACAATCATCTAAATTAGTTAGAATTCCGATAGATACTCAAGATGGAGAGGTTTATATAAAAGAACAGATCATTTGTAACTGTATAATTCACGATTGTCTAACAACAGTTTTCAATAATCGCGGTTACTTAGAAATTGAAAATCCCACACCTATTGATATAATTTTTTCACTAGATCGACCAGCACATGCTGAAATATTTAATGTTAATTTTGAACGTATATACCAACATAAAACGCACACCAAAAATGTAATCTCACGATTACGCACAGAGCACCTCAACGAGGAAGAAAAGGCCAATCTTATAGCTCTTTTCTCTCAGTATTCTGATGTTTTTTACGTAGACGGCGAACCTCTAACTTTTACTAATAAAATAAAGCATCAAATAAGAACAACCGATGAGATACCGTTACCCATTCGTACACCGCCAAGAAGTTAGGGACCAAATAAATAAGATGCTGCACAAGGAAGCTTTGGAGAAACTTGATGACGAACATTATGTCATATCCTTCCCGAATTCAACCAGAGTCAGATTAACCTGCAGCAGCCAAGACACCACAACCATACAAGGAAGTTATTTAGTCACGATTCCAGTTAAATGCTACCTGCAGACTGCCGAATTCAGAATAATCAACGAGAACGAGATTAGATTCGACGTATGGGTGTCGGTCCGGTTGCCTGCTTACACAGTTAATCACTTTCGAAAAATAAAATTCAGTACATTTTTCATATTTTTTTTCGGTAATTCACTGCACAAGGTTGCATTCACCAAGTGTTAGTGTGGTGTACGGTGTATTAAGGGTTTAAAGCTACAAATTCATCAAAATAAATTTTAAACCAAAGTTAAGTGATCAACTACCCTAAGACATTTTCAAAAAGTACAATTCATCAGTGCATACATTAAGTGCGAATTTGGATATCTGTGAATGTGAAGCCGTCCTAAATGTACTTCTAACCTTCTTATGGTGTTTGTACGGTGTGCCTTATTGGTAACTTAAAATAAGTTATTTATATTACACCACCTACTCGCAACAACGCCATCTAACAGTGATTCTATCCAACACAGAGGAAATAACTCAATACTCATCTGGCGCTTGGCTAAAACTACAAGCCTCTGCACTCGGGCGCAGGCATCTTTTCCCGTAAAACAGAGAGGGCGCTGCACCGCTGTTCTCTGTAGTTATTATAAATAAATTGCATCATGGTGAAATGTGCAGGATGTGGAAAGTTTCTTTCCCAAACTGACTGAATCCGTTGCAACAAATGCAACGGCCCGCACCATAGGGCTTGCGTAGGTATCCCTGAAACTGTTGCAGTTAATGGGTGGCTGTGTCCAGTTTGTAAATTGAAAATACCGAGAACAGACAACACTTCAACTCCTGTAAAAGGAATTGTATCAACCTATAAGCCTGTCAGTCCTGCTAACCTCGATGACACCGCTCATAACATAACAGAGGAATTTAGGCTAGACTTAGTAATGGAGATACGTTCATTTAGAAGCGAATTAGGTGCCATGCGGGCTGAGGTCCATGAGTGTCGTGTGGAGATCTCAGAGCTTAAATCGACACTGAATGGTTATGAAGAAAGGTTTGATTCCATGGAGGGCAGAATTACAGCGCTCGAGGATAAAGTAAATAAACCCACCGCCGGATTGGACGTGCTGGAGGAAGCGGTTGCGCAGCTAAAACTGCAGTTAAATGACAGAGATCAAGAGATATACTCAGGTGATATTGATATTTCGGGCATTCCGGAACAAAACGGTGAAAACGTAACTAATATTATTAAAAAAACTGTCCGTAAAGCTGGGAGTCGAAACCGATGAGCGCGACATTGTTAGAGTGGAGCGTGTCGGTTCTACGCGGCGCAACAAAGTTGCGGTAAATGACGTCACCGCTGGGGTCAACGCCGACCAGTCAGCCGCCGACCGGCGGCCGCGCACGATTATAGTGCGTTTCGCTCGGCAAATGGCGCGCGACGAGTGGCTACGTGCAGCTCGCGTTCGCCGCTCGTTAACTTCTAGCGACATCGATATTGCCTGCCCCTCAAGTCGAATATACTTAAACGAACGCCTAACTCGTGTCAATCGACATTTATTTTATTTGGCACGTCAGGCGGCTGGTAAAAAGCAATGGAAGTATGTCTGGACTCGAAATGGAAGGGTACTCGCGCGTAAAAATGACGGCCAGCAGACTTTCCAAATCCGTACCGAGACCGACATTACCAAAATTTTTATATAAAATTATGTTGGTCAATTATTATTTCTTTGTGTGGACTTTGCTGTTGTTATTTTTGGAAAACCTTAATCACGCTTATTGATATATCTTTAAATGTTTATAGATTGTTATTATTTGTGATTATGAAATATGCAAAAACCTACGATTGTTTTCTTATTTGGTGTTGCTTGATACGGGGTGTCTTCGGTTCGACCCAGCCAGACTTTTGCTCCTTTATTGTATGCGCATATGAAACATATCACTTATTGCGTTATATATTTGAATTGTTTATATTATATTTGTATTGCAACAGCTTATGTCACAAGTTTTTATTGGAAGAATTTATATATAATTTACATTATGAACTATTTAGAAATTATAATATTATTTACATTTTATTACAAAATATTGTCATTTTTTTTATATGTACATTTAATTGCAATTATATTAACCACAATCATACCATAGTGTCTCAATCAATTTATTTTAATATAATTCTACCAATGAAATCTATTATTAAAATTGAGTGTTGTTTGGGAATTGAACAATGTGTCGTAATTAAGCGTTTATTAAGTAACAATATATTAATAGTAAATAAACATAGTAATAAAAATGATTTCTAAAACAAAATTGAAATTGGGTTTATTAAATGTCGGCTCCCTTGGCACGAATCATGACGATTTTGTCGCCCTTTTCGATCGCTATGATATCGATATAATGGCCGTGAATGAAACCTGGCTCCGGCCTGGAGAGGAGGGTCGCGCGCCTATAGTACCCGGATACCGGCTGCGACATACGCCGCGACCGGCTTCTATCTGCTCGGGGCGAGGGGGTGGCGTTGGCTTTTATATTAGACGTGGTGTTAGTGTTCGCCCTTGCGTGTTGTCTATGGATCCAAGATTTAATTCAGTTGAACAAATGTGGTTGACACTCACAATTAATGGCAAAAAGATCGCTGTCGGTACAGCCTATCGTCCACCTCGGTTTAATTTGGATTTATTTTTGGATGCGATTACGGATACTGTGAGTGACTTGGGGATTGTGGATGGAT